GAACTTGCCCAGACTAGGAAATTGTGGGCATTAAATCAGCCCTTCTTGATTAGAGCCTCTGCTGAGTCACTCACCCTTGCACGGTCCAATATGGTAGCCACTAGCCACAAATGGCTATTTAATTCTAAGTTAATTAAAATGTTTTAAAAATTAGAAATTCATGGCTGGCTGGTGTGGCTCAGTGGTGAAGCATTGACTTATGAACCAGGAGGTTATGGTTTAATTCCTGGTCAGGGCACATGCCTGGGTTGTGGGCATGCAGGAGGCAGCCGATCAATGATACTCTCTCATCACTGATGTTTCTCTCTCTCTCTTCTTCTCCCTTCCACTCTGAAATCAATAAAAATATATTTTAAAAAATAAAAATATAGAAATTCAGTCCCTTACTCACACTAGCCACCTCTCAAGAGCTCATAGCCCCTGTGGCTAGTGGCGGCCATATTGGACAATGTAAATAACAGAACTTTCCCATCATCACAGAAAGTTGGGCGGCGCTGCAAAAGTGATGTTGGACAAAACACTTCATTTCCTTGAGCCCTCATTTCTTCACCGGTAACATGGGAACCATATTTGTAGACGTGTCCCTTTCCCAGAACTATTAGGAAGGTGAACCGATGGAGTGTTCGTGCTTTGTTAAATCTAAAGCAAAATGCAAATGTAAGAATTGTGACAAGAGCTCCAATCATTTCCTTTACCAGAGATGGCCGGCCTTGCTTTATTGACAAGAAACCAGAATGCTTCTCTGTACAGGCTTTTTTTATGCCTGGATTGATCACTGGTTGCTCAGGGTGAATAACTTTAAGGTGAGGAAGTTTTGTGGGTATGTTTTCTTTCCTTTGTAACGAAGGCTTCTGCCGTGTACATAGTAAACAGACTGAGCCATTCCAGAGTGTTACAGGGCAGGAATTTTCCCTTTGCCTACTTATGAAGTGTTCACTGTGATTTTGCATTTTTTTCTTACAAAAAAAATCAGCCCAGCAACTTCATCCCTAATGGAATATTCGAGCAATCTCAGTCTCTGAGCTTGAGGGAGTCAGAATTTTTTTATTTAGGATCACAAAGCCTTCCAAATCAAACAGAAGGAATAATTCCCATTAAGCCCTGACTCGTCTTTGGTGTTGTCTCTGCTGTCAGCTTGGACACACTCCTCCAAAAAAGCAAATCTCTGTTTTTACTTAGGCTTGTCCTGATCTGTTGTAAGTCATAACTCGATGAAAGCATTATAAAGCAATAAGAGTATGCATGTCAAGTAATTGGCTAAATTATGTCTGAAAGGGCTCAAAGCGTGCCAACGAGGCAGCTCAAGCAATCTAGAAGGTGCCATTGGAGCCCGAAAGGTTGAACCGTTCCCAGGACTCTCAGAGGCCCTTGTGTTTTTCTAGTGGTAGTAATAAGCTCGGCATTCGCATGAAGCTCTTCATGCTCTTCAGGGTGAAGATGCTTTATGAATGTCAGCTGTGCAGCCATACCATTCATTCCTCCTTATGCAAGGACACACTAAAGACCTGAAAATAGAGTCCTGGCATCAGGCAAGCCAGGAAGAAAACTTAAGTGTTGCCCCTTCTACGTATCAGGACTAACCCAGTTAACAAAGTAGACAAAACTCCAGCCCTCACAGAGCCCATAATCTAGAGGGGAAGGGAAAAGAGGGAGAAACGCAATAACAAAAGAACAAAAATATATACACGAAATGAGAAAAATACAATGGGACAGGAATGCTAGAGATGGGAGAATGAGTTGAAGTCTCACAAAGAATGGTCAGCAAAAGCCTCACAAAGAGACATTTCAGCAGGAACCTGAAGGCCACTGGTATGCTAGCCCTGGGGATACCAGTAGGGAGAGCTCCTCAGGCAAAGGAAGCTGGCAAGTGCAAAGGCCCTGGGGCAGAGGCGTGCCTGGCCTCTTTGAGAAACAGTAGCAGATTAGAGTAGTTGAGGCAGAGTGAATTATAGGGGTGGGGGGGGTAATAGGAGATGAGATCATAGAGGCACAGGACCAGATAATATAGGACCTCTTTTAGTATTCTATCCATAACACATGGAGTAGTTTTGAGAGAGGAGTGAAATTATCTGATTGAAGTTATTAAAGGATCATTTTGGAGTCTCTGTTGAGAGTAGACCAGGTGAGGGGAAGGCAATGCCAGGATGAAAGCAGTTTATGATCAACCAACCTTACAGGGTTTTTCCCCTGACCCCTATTTTCCATCAGCAGTTCACCATCCTTGTCTCTAGGACCTGCGAACATTAATGCCCAATCAGCACCGTCCTCAGCAGGCCATCTCATAGACTGCGCTGAACTGTGCCATTGGATTCATTCTGTTCATCCAATTCCACTGAGAGCCTCAAAAAAATCACAGCTTATTCCTGATGGAAAGAACCTGGACAATTACTTGGCTCAACTGTTCAGTTTTTAAAATTGTGAAATGGATCATACATAGAGAACAATAAAGTACTTATGTACTACCATTCAGTATCCCTTAGATACCCATGGTGTCTCTTCCCAGTCTCCTGCCTCTCCCTTCACCCTTCACTCCCACCCAGAAGTAACTACCATCCCACCTTCTATGTGAATCATTCCCCAGCTATACTTTGTGGGTCTCCCACTTACACATGAAGATCTAAATCAGGGATCCTTAAATTTTTTAAACAGGGGGCCAGTTCACTGTCCCTCAGACCATTGGAGGGCCGGACTATAGTTTAAAAAAAACTATGAACAAATTCCTATGCACACTGCAAATATCTTATTTTGAAGTAAAAAAACAAAACAGGAACAAATACAATATTTGTATTTGCATGTGGCCCGCAGGCCATAGTTTGAGGACCCCTTTCCATCTAAATAATATGTTTAGTTGGAAAATGGGGCAGCAGCACAAACCTATGTGTGACCCTCCTAGCTAGAGACCCACAGAAGGCCAGCTAAACTGAGTCTCTAGGTCATGGTCTGGCTTCAGTTTCCCTGAGGTTTTACAAGAGGCCCTTCTGGGGAAGTCACTGGGCAAGGTCACCAGTGAGCCCTCAAAAACCTAGGGCTCACTTCAGGAACACTACAGCTTCTCTGGCAAGGCTTAGTGTGGGCCAAACACTAGATCTATGAAAGGAGTGTAGTTAGGGAGAGTGGGCTGCTCTGAACTTACATGGTCTAAGTCTAGCTTTCAAGGTCAGGTCAAAGCAGAACATTTCTGTGGCTGAAGTAAGTGTCCTCAGCTTATTCAAGAGCAGGGCATGGAGCAGAGAGCAAGACTTTTCTCAGCATATTGTCAAGACAAACCAGGTATGGTACAGAGTCCAGACCAGACTCTCCTGGGTGTCCTGCCCTCAGGTGAGCTAGGAACTTGGTGTTGATGACCTTCGGTGGGGTTGCCTTTGCTCAGATCCAGTGGGTTGCCTTCATGGGTAGACACAGCTGCCATCCTAGGAAATCCTTTCACTCTGATCCTGGGAATTCCCCTCCACCCTCTCCTCTTTGGACTCTGCTATGTGCTGTATCCCTGTCTTCCTCACTCTTGATTTATTCTTTAGTTTTTAAAAAATATATCCTCCATTTTGAGGCCTTAAATATCTGAAAATGTCTCTATTCTACCCTCAATTATAATTAACAATTTGGCTAGGTATATAATTGTTAGTTGGATATTATTTACCTTTAGAGTTTTTGGAGATGCTGTTGATGGAAAATCTAAAGCTATTCTGATAACTGAACCTTTGTATGTAGTCTGTTTTTTCTTTCCAGAAACTCACAGAAGCTTATTTGTTTTTTTCCAATATTCAGAAATCTATAAGTAGTCTGTTTTTTCTTTCCAGAAACTCACAGAAGCTTTTTATTTGTTTGTTTCCAATATTCAGAAATCTATAATAATATATGTGTAATATGCTAATTAGACTGAATGTCCTTCCAGACATTCTTCTGGACGACCATCCAGACAAAGCTGGGGCTTCCAGGGAAGCTCGGGTCCTGGGTGCCGGGGGGAAGCCAGTGCTGGCAGCCGGGGGAAGGCAGGCCTACTCTTGCACAAAATTCATGCATGGGTCCTCTAGTTTTATTGTAATTCTTTATGTGGATCTTTTTTTCATCCTGTGTGCACTAAGTGACAACTCTTTCAATCAGTTAACCCATATCCTTCAGTCCTGGGAAATTTTCTTAAATTATTCCAGAGATTGTTTCTCTGATCTCTTTGTCTGGTATTCCTTTCAGACCAGTCCTCTAATATTTTTATAATATTTTTCCTATATTTATTTATTTGTATTTTTGCTCAACTTTTTGTAATATTTCTTCAAATTTATCTCCCAATCTTTCTATAGAGACTTTTATTGCTTTCTCATTTTTTTAATTACAAAAACTTGTTTCCTTCTCTCTTTATTTCAGAGCATCTTTTCCTCATTTCCTTCATGGACTATCTTGTCTCTCTTAAGAACATTCATGAAAGATGTTTTGACATTTCATCTCTGTTATGTCCTGTTTCCTTTTTGTTGTATTTCCTCTGTTCATTTGTTGTCATCTCTGTATTTCATGTTAGAGCCTGTCCAAATGTCTGGTAGTCCTGGTTGCTTGTTGTGAATAAAAGGGAGGAATCAAAAGACTTATTGGAAGCTCTCAGCAGAGCACTAGAACCCATCAGCATGAACTTTATCAGGCTGGGTGTTAGGAAATCCCCTTTGTCAGTATATTTTTGTCTTTCTTCTTGGCTGGAGGTTATAGTCCCCAGAGGAGATACTACCCATCGCTGGCCTGAAGGGGAAAGATCCTGACAAAATTCTGTGATGAAGGTGGGGGAGAGGGATGGATAGCTCAGCATATAGCATGCATTTTCAGTCATTTAAGTCCCTTTGATATGGTGTCTACCCTTCATGCCTGGTACCTCCTAGTCCAGTGATCTCCAGTTTTGTGCCTCCATAAAAATAAGTTTTCAGACTTACCACTTTTTTTAGTTGCATAACCATTTAAGGTAAATAATATTACATCAGTAACAAATTCCCAAATTTCAATGGCTTAACGAATACATTTACCCCACACTCCTGCAAAGTTCATTGTCCATGTTCCTACTTGGTAGATGGCTTCCATGCAGTCATTCAGGGACCCATTGCCTTCCATCTTGTGGCTCCACCAGGTCTCACACATTGCTCAATTTAGGTCCTGTAGGCAGAAAGAAAGAGAGGATTCTGCATGTAAGGTTGTTATGGGCCAAGCCTGAAAGTGGTGCACATCATTGTGCCCACATTGCATTGTGGACTCAGTCACATGGCCATACCCAACTGCAAAGGAGACTGGGAAATGTAACAAGCTGTGTGCTTGGAAGGAAGAGAAAGTGGGGTTTGGTGAACACACAGCAATCACTGCTCCAAAGACCCTGGCATATGGTTTAACCTTCATGAGTCTCAATTTTCTAACCTATGAAATGGTAAAATGGGAGCAATACTGCTTGTCTCACAGTGTTATTGTGAAGAATACATTTGTGAAATGCTTGGTCTGATGCCAGGCACACAATAAACCCTCAGGGAATAATTGTTATTATTATTGTATAATTTTCTTATCTTTCATTCATTCATTTTACCAAAAATGGAATTCCATGAAAGATCATGAAATTTATAACGCAGATGACAGTATACAGAAAAAATAAGAAGAGGAAGGAAAATACTTGCATAGTGAAAATCACATCCATTTCATTTATATGTTAAATATTTTCTGAACATCTATTACGTATCAAGCATTGCATCAGAGGTCCAGAGATACTGAGATAAATAAGATTCCTGCCGTTGGTGTTACCACAGTCTGAGAATAAAAAAGCTAAATTTTATCACTTTTTTGGAAGCTATGGGCTATTTTTTCAAAAGGAAGTTGGAAGATATCAGTCTGAGAATAAAAAAGCTAAATTTTATCACTTTTTTTGGAAGCTATGGGCTATTTCAAAAGGAAGTTGGAAGATATCCAGAGGATAAAATAATCTGAAATAATTTTCCAGTTTAGTGGTCAAAACTTGGATTAGTCAAAATTATCAATCATCTCCATGTTGCTAAACCCAGTGGCTAATTTTTGGTCTTGCTCTTACTTGATTTGCAGCTAATCATGACCTCACCTTTGCAACAGTGTCTTCATATGGCTTCCAAGACAACACACAGCCTGGTTTTGCTTTTGATTTATTGGCTTTTCCTTCTTAATCTTTTTTACTGGTTCTTTTTCAGTCTGTAGGGCTCAGTCTTTGTACCTCTCTTCTCAATGTACACCTTTCCATTAGTGATCTCATACCATCTATAAATTGAAGACTCCCAAAATTATGCATCCTGAACTTCAGATTCATACATCCAGTTGCCTACTGAACTTCTGTACTTGGATGCCTAGCAACTGAACTGCTCACTTTCCTGTACCCACACCTTCTCTTCCCACAGCATTGCCCCATCTCATCAATTAGCAACATCCTTCTACTGTTCAGTCCACATACCTAGGAGTCATCCTTGACTCCTCTCTTTCGCACCTCATTCAGCCCATAGTAAATACTGTTGGCTCCACTTTCCAAATATAACCTGAACCCAAATATTTTTTACTTTATCACCTCTGCCCTGATCCAAGCTACCATCAATCATTTCCCACTTGGGTTATTTCATTAGCCTCCTAATATGTCTTCGTTCTTTATACCATAGCATTCATCACCATATGTCATAATTATTGTCTGTCCCTGCCACTACAATGTAAGTTACAAGAAGATAGATTACTGTCTGTTGTGTTCACTGTTGTATCCCCAGTAGCTTGAACATTGTATGGCACTTAGTAGGTGTTCAATATTTTTTGAATAAATGAAGAAAGGAATGTGGGCACTATTTTTAAAACACCTGCCTTAATTTACAATAGCCCCTTCCATCTGGAAAAAAATCAAGGAGCTTAATATGACGTGAACAATTCTGTCACCTTCATTTCTTTTAGAGTGTGATCATATTTGCTGAAGCCAGAGCTGGGGCTGGCCTCAGACGGAAAGATGAGATCTCAGGAGAACAGCACTGGTTGAGTTATCGGGGCCCAGTAGAAATGATACAGCCTGGTGGTTTTAAAAATGCACAAGTCAGCACAATGCCTGTGTGGGAAGATCCTCTGTGACTCCCACACAGGCAAAGTCAGCAGCCATCTCTTCTAGGGATCCCTGGCACTTCACTCATTGAACTTAGAAGATTCTCTACTTCTTGTAGAAGACAATGCCGTTATTCCCCTTTATGTTCCCAGCACCTAGCTCAAGTGATTCACTTACCCTGGTTTTTCCTGCGACTGTCCCAATTTTAAAACTGAGAGGTTTGCATCCAGGGAACCCTCTCAGCCCTGGATAAATCAAGATGCTTGGTCACCCTATACTTAGCACAGCACCTGTCGCCTAGTAAACCACAATAAATGAATGTTGGATGGAGCTAACTGTGTTGCAGTTATCTGTCCACGTGTCCATTCCCACCCCAGTGCCTGGCATAGGGCATAATGTTTCCTAAAATACATTTCAGAGAACCCTAGTTCCATATGATAGCAATATGTCATAGCTATACCCGATGCTATAGCAATAGGTCATTGCCATAGCCGATGCTGTTGGGTACCCCACCCAGATCTCCTTTCCTCAGATGATGCATCCATTCCCTAGACCAGTGGTCGGCAAACTCATTAGTCAACAGAGCCAAATATCAACAGTACAACGATTGAAATTTCTTTTGATGGCCAAATTTTTTAAACTTAAACTATATAGGTAGGTACACTGTTATTAACTTAATTAGGGTACTCCTAAGGCTTAGGAAGAGCCACACTCAAGGGGCCAAAGAGCCGCATGTGGCTCTCGAGCCGCAGTTTGCCGACCACGGCCCTAGATAATCTGACTGTTGAATACTAACAACTCACAGCTATACCTTTCATAGCAACGATCAGCCTTAGCCTATGGAAGGCTTCTTGCCTAGGGATTTCAAAGACATTTTTGTCCTTCTTCCCAAAGGACTGCTTGGAGGTGATAACTGTCTGATACTGGGAAAAAAAGTTCATCCCACTTTCTGCAAGATGAGAGGACACTGTAGTGTCATTCAGACTCTAGAGCTCCCCATGAAGCTAGACTTCAGATGAACCTATATCTTTGTGAGACATCCCTTAATAAATCACTTACAAAATAATCCCTGTCTTAGATTCTGCTTCTAATAAGCTACACATAAAACAGTTATTACTTAGAGCTATTCCCAGGATAACTCTATGGATTCTGGAGTTGGATCACCCACCTCATTGCTGCTGGCAAGGGACCCTCACTTCTACTGGCCAGTGGAGATTGATGGTCCTTGGTATGCTGTAGCACAATAAATGCTAGGATTGTCCCCTGAACATGGATAGAATATGGGTATAAGGAGATACATATGAAAGATACAAGGGAAAGAGTCATTATAAAGACAGTAGAATTTTGGGGTAGTTATTGAGTTCCCTTGATACATTAAAGAAAGAGAACATCATAGGTTCAGATTGATTGCTTACGAATTCAAAACAAAGTGTGACATTCAATGGGTTACTTGATAATATTTCAAGAGAGTTTTCTTATCCTATAGCCAGAAGGCCAATTGAGCCAAAACCAGGCTCAAACCTAATTGTAATAGTAGAACTTTAGAGAAGGTTGAATTCTAATCCTTAAAAAATCTTCAAATGCCACAGTTTGGCTCTGATAGAGAAGAAGTGTGACCCTGAAGCTTGGGATGAGGATACCTGGGTAGATATACTTGAGAATCTCAAACTACCAGTTTTTCTAGGCTGGGCCTATAGAAGTGAGTCACTCCTCTCATTAGAGGCAGAGCCTCCTCTTCCCACCTAGCCTTACCTGAAGATTGCACAAAAACCTCAAATGAGACAGGTGCTTTATAAGACAATGCTTGCCCCTCTCAGGATCTGGCTGCATTTCCCTTCCTAGCCACCAGTTCCATAATTAGGGTCAAGTCTCAGCTTGACCTGACTGACAGAGTGCTTCGCCTGCTAAGGCAGATGAGGGACTTCACAGCTGAACGACAGACATAAGTGTACCAGCAGGGATTAGGAAAGAATGTCAGAGATGAGTCATGAAGGTATTGGATCAAAGAGAACAATACATAAAGTCAGATAAGGGAGAGTGTCAGTATTGGAGTACTTCATTTCATAGTAATCCTCAATAATTGTTGGAATACACTGACTGTTGTTAAAATACCTGACCTGGGGGCCGAGGGCCAGTCTGATAAATTGCTAAGATGGATGTTGGAAACTTGGAAGAAACAACTGTCAGTAGTAAGTGAAGTTAATACCAGATTTGCTGGGCAGATTGTGTAGGAAGAGATCCAAAAGCCCATGAAAATGGGTCTACTGAATGAAAACAAAGAATTTATTAGCTGTCCATGTTCCTCGGGAGAGCCCATAAAACATCCTATTTACCAAGGTGATTAAGAATATGTTGGTCAGGAGAGCGCCAGCATGGGTCAGAAGTTCAGTAATGGCCAGCATAACCAATGGACATAAGACACTGGGGAGTAGGGGAGGCCAGGGGATTGTCAAGGGCGGGGGAAAAAAAAGGACACATATGTAATACCCTTTGTAATACTTTAAGCAAAAAACAATAACAAAAAGTTAAAAAAATAAAATAAAATAACAAAACAAAAAAAGAATATGTTGGTCAGGAGAGCGCCAGCATTGGTCAGAAGCTCAGTAATGGCTGTGTTCTGTAGGCTGAGCTGATGACAGGAGTTACCTGGTAGCAATGGGATGGCAGAGGTCAGGAAACAGTGCTGAACTTCAAAAACCAGGTAAAGAGAACTGCAGAAAGGGTGAGCAAGTTTGGAATGGCAGCCAGGGAGGCCTGACATCCAAGTATATACAGAGAAACCCTGACCAGGTAGCTCAATTGGTTAGAGCAACGACCCAATATGCCAAGGTTGCAGGCTCAATCCCCAGTCAGGGCACATATAAGAATCAATCAATCAATGCATAAATAAGTGGAACAACAAATCTCTCTCTCTCTCCCTCTCTCTCTCTCTCTCTTTCTCTCTCAAAATTTTTATAAAAAGAATATACAGAGATAGCTAACAAAACACAGTGTTTCTAAGGACATTATAGACAGACAGCCAATAAAAAATTAAACTAATTGCTTTACTATAAGACTGCTCAAATCTTATAATAGGTTGAGGTACATTTGTGTCCTCTAAGACAGGGAATCCTTCTTTTCTTTAAGAACCCCCCTCCTGGGATTGGTGTTTTACAAATAAAAATGCTACACAGTTCATTGTTCAAAATATTTATGGAGTGAATGCACATATGAACACATAATTGGTTCCTTAGTACAACTTCATGTAGGCATTGGACAGAGCGAGATCTCCAAAGCATTTTTCCAATGCCTACATCCTGGGAGAAAATAATGAGGAAAATATTGATCTAGTAAAGAAAGAATAAATTTGCTAACAGACTGGCCAAACCACAAACTAAACTCAGAGAGCTCAGGAGCAGTCAGCATTTGACATGTCAGCAAACCATTCACCCTCCTCACGCCCCCTCCCCCCACAAAAAAAAAAAGCTTATACAGTCAGGACATCAAGAAAAATGACTTTGGGGAAATTAATGGAACAATGTATAGAGAAGAGGAGAAAGTCAATAATGAAATCGGTCCAATTTAAACAGCCCAGGCCAAGACCACAAGGTAAAAAACTTATTTTAAGTTACATTCAACACTGGAAATAAGTCCCCCTGATTTATTTAGCATTCCAGAAGCTAAAGAGCAATAAACAACTACTTCAAGTGCATTACGTTATCGTCAGAGTTATATGCTTCCGTGATTCAAAGCTGGGCACAATACAATCCAATAGCACACAGTAAGCTTTGTCCCTTCCGTCTGACTGCCTACATGATCCCACCACGGCATCAACAAAAAGGCTCCAACCGTCATAGTAGGTCATTTCCCTTCCACCAGTAGGCAAACTATCAGAGGGAATAAATCCAACATTAGCATTAGTTCCGAAAGAAAGACATTCATTTTTCAACAGCATCTGTTTTCTGCCTCGGGCTCTGTTGTTCGAACTCTTCAGGAACAATCTCTGCTCTGTTCCTTTGGAAGATGTCTCTTCCACTGAGCTCCAAACCTTGCTGGCAGAACATCGTGACTCACACTTTCAAGTGCCAGTTGCTCCCTTTCCAGTCCCACTGTTACCCAGATGTAGACTTCATCGCATGTTCCGACGGCTGCTATAGACTCAATTAGTCACCCAACCCAACTCTCTTGCCAGTTAATGCTCTCCTTTATACCTCTCCTGCCCTTTCCTGTTTAGAAACTGCCAGCAATATAGTGCGCCATTAATGAAGATCCATGTGAGAGGATCCAAGAGGTAGTGAGAATATGTGGAGCTGTGGAGTCAAACAGACCTCAGGTTCAATCTCAGGAGGCTAGCTGAGTGTTCTTGGGGAAGTGACTTCACCTTCTTGGGCCTTAGATGCCTCATCTGAAAATGGGAATAAACCTTGATATTGTAGGACTTTGTGCATCCTCTGAGAATGTATACAGGGTGCCTGTCACCATGTCCAGCATACAGTAGGCACTCTATAAGGCAATATATATATATATATATATATACATATACAGGGTTGGGTAAAGGTAGGTTTACAGTTATTAGTAAGCAAAACACAGAGTTTGTTCTTGTATTATTAATTAGTAATTATTATATTATTTTTCCATATGAACAACTGTATAGACAGCTCCACCAAATCTCAACAAAATTTTCAATATGCGCCTTTTAGTCAAATGATCAAGGACTCAAATATGTTATAGAACCTGTTGAAACTAAAAACATGATTTTAAAGGTCCTTTCCAGTTCTAACATTTCATTTCTTACTGGACTATAAGATGATTTTTTTTCTATGAGACTCCCAAAGTCATGGAACACAAAATTAAAGGTAAAATTATCCTCTAAAATGAAAGAAAGGACTTTCACCAAGTATAAAAGTGAGAACTAGAAAAAGAATAAAGTTCACTAGAAAAGACCATTTTTTGAGTTCTCAGAATGAATATTCCATTGGTTTAATATGAAGTTTGAACTCTATTTAATTCCAGAAATTTCTGCTGAATGTCCACCATGAGTCAGACCCCATCTTCAGTCCCAGATATACCAGGGGAACATTTGCAGACTTAAAACAAGGGACTTACAAGGTCAGATTTGCATTTGGGAAAGGTCACTGGAGGGAGTGGAGGTGAGTGGAGGAATAAGATAAATGGGGAGACCGAGGGAAAGGTTTAGGAGGTTACTGAAAAAGTCCAGACAAATATTCTGGTGGCCTGACTCAGGGTGTGCTGATGGAGGCGAAAGGGAGTGGATAGTTCTGACAGGTACGCAGGAGAAAGAAACCCTAAACTTGGGGCCTGGTTGCAAGACACATGAACAGTGGGATTACATTCGGACCAGTGTGTGTGAGCATCGGTGACATAGGGGAGGGGGTGAACTGGATGCTGTTCAGAAGCAGGTTCTATCCCTAGGACCAGCTGAGGATTGGGTTTATCCTTGAATCCTCCCCAGAAATCTGCACAGGAGAAAAACAAGAGGCTGGACAAGAAGATGCATGTCTGAGGTAAAGGGAAAAACATATTTGGTCCTAATAGGGTGGTGGGGGGAGGAGGGAAAGAGGAGGAATGTTCTGGAGCAATCTGCCCCGAGGTGAGGACTGGTTTGGGAGGCTGCCAGTATCTGCAGCGAGATGTTAATGAGGGTTATCAGCTGTCCCTGAAACAAAGGCAGGCAGCATTCTGGCAGCCACTGAGCTGGAACCAGCCAAAACCTGTGTGAGTGTGTGTGTGAGTGTTTGTGAATGTGTCTGTGTATGTGTGAGTGTGTGTGTATGTGAGCGTATGAGTGTCTCTGTGTTCATGCCCCGGAAGAAACACCAGGCATACTGTGTACAGATATCCTCAGAAAACCAATGGTCATGGTGCAACCTGTGGACACCCGTGACACAAGACAGACACCTTCAAGTAGGGAGGGTTGGCACTTCTCAGGGGGGGCTATTTGTATAGAGCTGCTTCATTCTTCTTTCATCTCTGGCAGAAAGGGGGACCCTTTTATCCTTCCACAAACATACACCAACCACACACAGTCACACCGCCCCAGAGGTCTTCTCTGCACTGAAGGCCTGTCCTTTCTTTGCTTGCCAAAACATATTTACACATCAGGGCTTATATTTAAGCATAGTCCTCTTACTATTCCCATAAATGGTGCTCGTCCAATATGCTAAGAGCCAGATATCAAACGGAGGAGGCCCAAGGGCATCTCTCAGGCAGTAGTTTGGCATTTCACCCTGTTTGACAGCAGGAATCCACTTGGTGGTCTAGGTGGCCTGGAAAAGACTGCCTTCTTCTAGAGATCTCGGTAGCAGAGACAGTAAAAGCATTCACTTTGCAAGCAGGTAGGCTGGGCTGAGCGGTGACTTTTCCACTGACCTTGGGTCTCTGACTTCATATCCCTGCTTCAGTTTCCTTCTCTGAAACATGGGAATACTAACCAGGAGGAGGAATCACCATTATCCCCATTTCACACATGGGGAAAGCTGAGGCACAGAGAGATTGTCTCCAATGAAGCCACTAGTGGATAGCACAGCTTGAATTTGAACCCTGGCAGACTGGCTGCTCCCTGCACTACCTGCCGTACTTATGCAAAATTTCTTCTGTAACCCTCCGAACGACTCTGCTAATGAGAACTTGGACAAATTACTTAACTCGCTCAGTCTTCATTGGCTCAAGAGAAAATAAGGTTTTGTTATTGCAGTCCCCATAGGATATCTTAGGAAATAACCAAGTGATAATGCAGGTGATAATAGGATTAGCCGTGTGCTTGAGTAGTTGCAAGCACAGTGATAAAGAAAGTACAGTGGTAACGGTAACCATGTTGCTAGCATCACAGCATCCATTTGACTTTAATTACTTGTTTCTGTGTTTGTGATTTTCTCGAACTACATGCCTGGTACACGTTCCGGGTGGACAGAAATTCTGTTCCTTTGTTGTTGTTTTTTAAATCCTCACCCGTGGATATTTTCCCATTGATTTCTAGAGAGAGTGGGAGAGGGAAAGACAGAGAGAAATATCGGTGTGAGAGAAACACATCAATTGGTTGCCTCCTGCACACGCCCTGACCAGGGCCCAGGCCGGGGAGGAGCCTGCAACCGAGGTAGATGCCCTTGGCTAGAATCGAACCCAGGACCTTTCGGTCCACAGACCAACGCTTTATCCACTGAGCCAAACCAGCTCAGGCAGAAATTCTCTTTCTTATTTGACCTTGCACTCCCAGCCTTTAGCAACCTAACACAGACCTGGAACAAACTGTGCTTTCAATGTTATTCATTGATGAATGAATAAATGGCTTTAATACTGCCTTTCTCTTGGATTGCTGTAAGGATTCAATGAGGTAATGTATGTAAAACAGCTAGTACAATGTTTCGGCTTGAGAATTCCACCCAATTAGTGTCAGATCTTTCCCCTTTGCAACCAGAGCACATTACCTGAGACAAACACACTGGAATCACATGGTCCAGCGAGTAACACACAGAATGTCTGGGCTCCTCTGATGAGCACAAACATCCCAGCCAGAACCCGTGCACCATGTGATGTGGGCAGGTGAACTGAAGAGGCGCACCAGCTGGGATCCACCTTGGTGTGCAGCATCACCCTGAATCACGGAGAACCACGCTGTGGGCATGTTTGAAAGTCTGGAGAGCAGGAAAGGGAAGGCACTTGATGTATTGATTGATTACAGTGACTAATTAAGTCCATGCACGGTACAAACACAGGCAGCTCTTACTTACTGGGTACCAGGAAAGAGTTTGGCAGAGATGAAGGAAAGCGCAGCCAGTCCATCCATGAGCCAATGTGCTGCATCTATAAAGGGATGAATCAGCTGAGCACAATTGGAAACAGAAACTGCCGACAATGTCCAGAAACTCTAAATAGAAATAGTTGTTCAGAAACTAAATAGAAATGTAGTGGACCGTTGGGCAAAAATATCTCTTGCTCAAAATTGCTCAGAAAATAGCTAAAAGCAGGACAACAGGCAGTGCAAACAACATGGAGTTGGGCTTCAGACAGACTTCCTTTCCAGTCTTGGCTCTACCGACTGTGGCCTGAGACAAGGCAACTAACGCCTCTGAGCTTCCCATATCCTCATCTGCAAAATAAAGAATACTCACTTCGCCAGGGTATGAGAAGCTTAATAAATAATTTGTATAAAGGCACTGGCAAGTGGTGTGTCTGCTACCATCACCACCACCACCACCTAAAGGCATCCACCCTGATTAAAGGGTCCATACCACCTGGAATCAGTGCACTCATATCTTCCCTCTTAAGTGGCTCTAGTGGTTATAGTCTTCTGTTTTGCTGTGACTCATCTATTACTATAACTTACCCAGGGCTTGTAATAGGACAAGTGGCAAATAAGAACTCAGAGATGGAAGGTCCTCAAACAAGATAAGCCACTCCAGAAATAAATGACACGGCATTGGCTGGGTTGGGGGGGTGAGGTTAGGAATAGAAGGGGCTGGCATGAACCAAGGAAGCTGGAAGAGGGCAAAGAAGGAGAAAAGAGGCAACAGTAAGAGCTCTAGGGGAGAGCTGAAGGTCAGAATTGGCTCAAATAAGGGAGAGGAAGCTGAGTAATAATGCATCATTACCTGCTTCATTGATTCTCCACCTGGGGCTGCCCACCCACACTGCATTATGGAAGGCTGGCAACAGCCAATGAGAAGCAAGCTAATTCATGACTGACAACCCTGGAATATCTCCGGAAGTGGAAAAGCAGATAATGCAGGAGGTAGAAAATGAATCTAGCCTGGAAACAGGGGGCTGACTAAACATCCACATAGTAAGAGCTTTAGACACAGGTGTCGTCTACCCCTCAGGTAATGGTGGGCAGGAGGCAGAGTGGGTCTCTGGTGAATCTGGACCAGCAAGTCTCTAGACTTGCCTTTCTCCAACCCTTGCAATAATTCTTATGATGTGAGGAACTTAAAAATTATTATTTGTACAGTTCATGGTACAGAAATATAATCAGTGACTTTAAGCTATCACAACCCAATAATAATTTCTCAATGCTCTTTTGAGCAGAGAATGTTTTCTGCAAGTCTGTTTGTTTTGCCTACTCAATTAGCCTAATCTTTTTCTGTGGTTTCTCCCTCCCCATCAAGAATAGCAACTCTAATGCAGCTCAGGAATGTTTTTTGCTTCCTATTAAAATTTTTTAAATCATGTAATTAATTTTACTATCCAAGATGCTAGTAAGATCTGGTCTATGGTATATGACATATGGGGGATTTTTGTTCTTTAAAACCAAAAATAAATTGTTAAGCTAAACTTTATTGAAAAAAAAGGCAATTAAATTTAACTTAAATTTCTTGAAACTAATCTTTCTTTTTGTAAATTTTTGAACTTCATAAAGAGAACACAATTTATTTGTGCCAAATAGTTGGCTTAAAAAATGGAATTTAATTTCTCTGAAAGCAGGTTTCATATATTTAATCGAAAAAAAAGTTGTAAATTATTTTAACGAATGCTATTTAAATCATGGAAATGTATTGATACTGTTGACTAGTAAAGCTATGGAAATCATGAACCAAAGCAATATAAATAAAAATAAAGCCTAGGACAATTTATAGAAGACATTGAAAAAACCAATTTCTTACTAACATTATCAGGCTTAACTGTAGGCCTAGTAGTTCCAAAATAATTATAGACACGTGCTTATCTCTTGATTTCTGATAGGCCTGAGTGTACACAAAAAATTTTATATTGGAACTAAAAAATAAATTTTAACTTTGTAATGTGATACCTGGGTTATTGTTGTTGTTGTTATTTACTAAACAAATACTCAATTTTTGGTCCAACTTGTGATAAGTACACAAGATTTTATTTCCAACTGTAGTGAGACCATTTCTGTCCTGGCTCTTGACAGATGTTAAAAGGAAAAGCTTGGTCACACACGTGGGAAGCTGAAGGCTGTAGAAAAATGGCCCTTGCAAGGCTGGATATTCTTTTTCACAGAAACCAGAGCTTGTAGGGAGCTGATCAGTAAACCTCTTCTTGAGTTTACTATCTGGCTGCCCCTCACTGACGTCTTCCTCTTCTCTCAAAGTCAAGTTCTCAGACTGAGCAGAAGAGTCAGAAAGAGGGTCTCTCACCTCGTCACACACATGAGTTGAAAGGGGAGGGAATACTGTTCCCTTTGGTCCTGCCAATCTTCTAGGAGGTTTATGATAAGACTTGAGGCAAAATAATATCCTTCCTCTCTGTCAAGCCCAAGCCCAGTGGAAACTTGTCAAGATTTCCTATTGAAACATGATTTCCCCCAAGACTATTCTTACTTAAATTCAGAACATTCTTTCTAAGGCCTTGCAGAGACTTCCTCCCCCGGCTCATGTGAGGAAAACTGTCTTGAGACAGGCTAATTTCTGCAGCCAATTTTCACCTTCAAACATCTCAGCAAATCTGGCCAATTATTTTTTTTTTAATAACCCCGTCATTCATTCACCTTTACTAGTAAGGTCACATGCCTGTTGAGAAGTCTCCTCAAATTTCTGTATATAGAAACCTCTGATGGAGCCAACCACCCATGGGCCACCAGCAATACAGCCACCAACACAATTTCTCTAAGACAGACTTTGTGTTTCTAGATATAAAGAGAAAATATTAAATATAGGTGGGTTTTTGCTTGTTTTAGGCCATTATTTTTGGTAACAGTAAACATTTTCTTGAATTTCAACATCAGTTACATATCTTGCAAATACCACATCATGACATTTATTGGTGAAATCTGCTGACTCGTCAACTTGGATAGAGAACCTATTGTATTTCAGTTTATTACACAAACCTCATTATCATCAAGTGACATGTCATCGGTGTCTTGACCAATAAAATGGCCTGAAAGTGGGACCTTTTCAATTTCTCCTCCTACATCTTGCCCTACCACTTCACTCATTTTAATTTTACTACCATTATTAGGTTTTCACCAACGGTGTGACTTTCTTTTTGGGGGTCAATAAGTTCTACTATTAAGTAATTTTTTCTCCCTGGACCCAAATGTGACTTTTTAAACTAAAGGTTTACCCTGTTTGTTTTGAGATTCCAATAGCCATTTAAAATCACCAGCACCTTTTCATGTCAAAGGGCTGTGATTTATAGTTCAAAGTCATATTTTGCTGAAGCTATCATTGCATTTGTGAGTCATTTGCTGCAGAACCTGCACAGTGGAATAGGACAGCATAGATCACCAGCGTACAAATCCATGGATGAGTAGCTTTCACCATAAAGAGGGACTTCTATGGTATGGCACTGTTGCAATAGTGCGGTGAAGTGACTCAAAAGATCGGAATTCATCATTACTAACCTTATCAGAATTGTCCATACCTGTAAGACTGGAAAAGTTCACATGGAAAAACAAACATGAAGAAGAGCCAGGGAACACTAAAAAGGGAAAGCGTTAAAGGGAATGAGTCCTATCACATGTTGGAACATACTATAAAGTCAGTGTAATTAAAACAACACAGGGCTGACACACGAATCTACAAACAGACCAATGGAATATAATTGGAAACCCAGAAATAGACTCAAGTACATTTGGAAATTTAGTATATGATAAAGGTGGCCTCTCAAATCATTGGTACAAATATTGGACTTTTTAGTAAATAGTGCTGGATAACTAAGTAGCCAAGAGGTTGGGCTTACGGAAACAAGATGAGAAGAAGCCCTCCGCAGAGCCAGGAAGAGCTGGCTGGTGCTGTGCCTCTGAGAGGGTTCATGGCACAAAGGAAGCTGGAGGCTGAAACCTACTGCCAGGGTGACTTTGACAGGAAGAGCAAGAAATATGTTCTCCCTTTCACCTTCCAATCTCCTCTGCAAAGCCAGCTGGTAGAGGAGAAAATGGAGTGAGCCAAGTCCCAGCAGCAGCATCACAGAGCAGAGTATCAGAAGGTGGGTTTGGAGCTGAGCTTACTGGCCGGAAACATGTAAATGCTGAGTCCTTGTTTAGTTAGCATGCAGCACCCTATAACTCTATTGAGAGGAAGAGCGAGGGCAAATGAAGACAGGATGGGATAACACTCTAAATCTTCATGTTCTTAATAAAATGATAAGGGAATATTCAAAAGTGATGTCAAGAATAGAAATATAAACACAACACTTACAAAAACAATATGAAACAGCTAAAAAATGTTTAAGGAATGGGATGTGGGTGGGGAAGAGAGGGAGAAGTGGTTAGCTTTTTAAATTATAGACACATTTGACTTCAATTTTTAAAAAATTAAAACAAATGAATGGAGAGGGGAAAAGTTCAGATCTATGGTGGCATTTATAGTTTGGAAAAATAAATGTAATACTGTAAGATCAATAAAATAGGGTTTCCATTGGGAAAGTAAATTGGAAAACTATCATTTGGATAATACAGACTACCAAAAGCAAAAATGGAAAATCCTTTTTGTTGTTGAATCCTGTGAGAGATGGAGAAGAAATTAGATTGTAAACCTCATAAGGGTAGATTGTGTGTCTGTTTTATTCACCAATTAGGCCCATATTTTATGGCCTAATAGATGAAAAATTGAACAGAATAGCTCACAACAGAAAGAGCAGGTGCTCACTCCTGCATTGACCACAAATAACTTTGAGGGTTTACCAAGTAAAAATAACACCAGTCCTAGGCCCACGTTGCTGGTTTCAGACAGATAAGCAGAGCCTCACAATGCCACGTCATTAGGGCTATTTCAATGATGAGGACAAAAAATTGTAACCCATAGAAGGTAGAGAATCTCACTCTGCCTGGGAATGGCTGAAGATGACCTTAGTGTTGAGAGGCCATTGTTGGCCTGATTTTTAAAGGAAGTCTAAGAGTTTACCAGAT